TCTGTTTCAAGAGGAAGGCAAGCTTTCTGCTGGCTGCGTTTTCCCCTGCTGTTTGGCAGGGCTAGAGAGAGAAAGGGTCTGACCCTCATTTTATATGTTCCCTTGGCTGGCTGTGAACTCCCATAACTATCAGCAAAATGTATTTTGTATACTGAGAAGCTGTTAAGATGAGCGGGCTTTGGAGACCTTTGACTGAACACAAGCTGATACCCTCATCAAGATGTAAGCACTAACCGGGCACAGTGGCATCACCACCCAGCTACTTGGGAGGTTGAAGTGGGAGGACTGCTTGTGCCCAGGAGTCCAAGGCCAGCCTGCACTCCCAACTCAAAAAAAAAAAAAAACCAAAGATGTAAGTATTAGAGAAGAAAAATAATAAGAGCAAGTATTGTTTCATGCCACTGTATGCCAGGAACATGACATGCATTGTATACACCCTATCTCACTAGACTGAAAGTTACAATGAGGAAGAAAAAGTTCTTCTGTCCCATTACCTAGGTGCAGTGGACATAGACACTGTCCATTCTTCTTTTGGCATTTACCAGTTCCATAGATACCAACAGGTTTTGACTACAAAGCAAGTCAGAAGTCCCAGGGAGTTAATGCTCCCACAGCAGCCAGCAGTGATAGATGGCAGCTGGCGGGTAAACACATTTGCGCACCCTCAGTTGAGATGATTCTGAGGTATGTCCTGTGCCCTCTCCAGAAGACAGCATCTGAAGCACAGAATTCTATGACAGGCTCACTCCGTTGCGCTAGGCTGGGGCTCCATCTTGGAGACATCAACACAATTCTCAGCTGTGTTAATAACAGATTATTTCCCTTTGGCTGCTTGCACAGGAGGCCCTGAGGACCAACTATGTAGGGTGGCATGTTTCTTAACTGGGAAGTGCCAGGTAAATCACAGGTCTACAATGCTCTGGATCAGCAAACCCGTCACATATTTGTGACACGACAGCTTGCCACAGGACGCTGTACTAGGGGGGTGGTGAGTAGAGAAATGTAATGTTCATTTCCACTAACACTAAAGTTCTCACAGATCTGGTAAAAAGCAGATTAGGTGGCATCTCCCAATCATGATGCTAAGAACAATAATAAAAAGCTCATGAATTTGGGGTACCCAACAAACTCTGTAAATGCCTCTCACATTCACATGTTGATTACTGCTGCTCATCAGAAGCAGCTGTGGCCCTGAGACACTGAGGCTCTGATACCGAAAGACAGGCTCTAGGAGGGAAGCCTTCACCAAGCCACTTCACCTCCCGTGCCTCAGCTGCTCCATTGTAAATGGGGATCTCAAGTATCTTTCTGAAGGTCCGTTTGTTTTGTTTTGTTTTGTTTGCCCCCTGGGAGAGAATTTAAAAGGGACCAGCCTATATGTGATGTCTTTTAAATTCCTATTAGACCTGAATCCTGAATAAAGGGAAATAGAGGTAGCCTTCCTATTCTATTATGGTTTGTTTTTTTTGACGTCATACATAAAAGTTTCCTTTCACTCAAGCTACTAGAATACTCAGGCTGATTTGTTCCCTCCCAGGGACACACACCCTATCCCTATCCCATCTCAGCCAGAAATCAGATGGTGCCCTCAAAGGGAATTGTGGGTCTTTGAATAAGGCCCTCAAGAATTAATTGTGAAAGAACAAGGTAATCAACCCCAAATGAGAAACAGAGTGCCTCAAATGGCAGGGGTGATAGCTGCTGTCGCAGAGGTGATAGTTGCTATACAAAGTGTATTTGGTAAATAAATGAGCCAAAGACGGGCTCTGTGCATTGGCCTCTAGGTGGTTTATTTCTTCACTGCAGGCTGAGACTGTTAGCTCAAAAGCCTGTTGGCACCAAACTCCCAAATTTTTACACAACCAATTATTTTTAAAAAAGCTTAAACAAGTAAATTTGCAGCCATTTAGAGCCTGCCTGCTTTGTATACACCTTGAACCCTCATGCAACAGCTGTTACCCATTGATAAGACAGGGCCTTGGAGTTCTAAGGCTCTATGGGCAGCAACATCACCTGAGACCTTGCTAGCAATGGGGCCTCTTGGGGCCCACTCCCAGACCTAGTGACCTCAACTCTGCATGCTAACAATATCATCACAGCTGTTGCACATTGCAGCTGAAGGTTCATGAGCACATTGCTGGGCTAAGAGACTTTTGTTTGGGGATCAGTGTAGTAGGCAAGTGCAATGCACTAAAGGGACTCATGTGATAAAGACGTCAAACCCCATTTGGACTGCTCTCAGTCCTTGTGTGTCCACTTACCGACTTCACTGACCCTTTCTTGATTTTCTCATAAGGTCTATTCAGTAGACAGGTGTGAAGACTGCAGTGTATGACCCCCTTACACAGGGAATAGACTCTTCACAGGAAACCATTTTGCTGTGCTGGACGATGGCCACGCTCCAAACACACACACACACACACACACACACACACACACACACACGAACACACAAACACACCCCTGCAATGGGTGGGTATGCAGATATATGACATAATATTCCCTCCCCATGCAGGCATGCTCCACTCACACCCACACACTGAAAACCCCCGAAACTTATATTCTAGGGATAAAGGCCCAGTGCTAGATCCTGAAAAGGCACTCACAAGGAATCTATAAAATTCCACCAAATCGAAAATAATGATCTCTTACAAAACACAGTTGGGGCAGGTGCTAAGAGGCACAGACAGGAGGACCCAGGAACAAAAAAAAACAAAAAAACAAAAAACAAAAAAAAACCCAGCTACACAAAGGCACACTGATCCAGTAAGTGATTCTGAATGAGGCTTGCCTCCTCCCAGGAATGTCAAGGCATAAGCCTAGCGACACCATACAAAAGAGAACATCCTAATTATTACCCAGAAAATCCTGGGCTGAGACAAGTGCCATTTGCTTGTGCCTTCTCTTTATGCATGTAGGAAGTTATATATCGTTACAAATTCTCTTTGTCTATCCAGCAGCCTTCCCTATCTAGGACCTTGAAGTGGATCAAAATTGGTTTCTAAACAAAAGATGCCATTTACTCCACGCAATGAATTTTACTGATTTTTAGGAAAGCAGCTCTGCTCCTTATTCAGTAATTATTTATTCTTACTTTACACACAATTCTAAAAGTCTATGAGGTTTGATTTCTCAGGCCATAGCCAACTATAAAGCAACGACTTAGAAATAACACAGAATGGTAAGGAGCTAGGAGAAGCAGCAATTATAGCACTGGTGGTAGAAATAAAGAGGCGCCAGTAACAGCTAGTCAGCAAAAACTGGAAAGTCATTATCAACTATTAAGAGTACCCATATAAACTCGAAGGCATTTATGGTAGGGTCCTGGGGACGGGGGACTGATATTACATAGTCCAATTTTTTCATAATAAATTCCTTGTCATCAATAATCATAAGTCAAATTATATTTGATTACATTTAATATTTTCAGTTTAAGAAAGACACGGACTGTTATATTTTATAAATACTTCCATAAACAAAAAGATTTTTTTAAAACGGTTAAGGTCTTGACACTGTTTAGTAGTTTCAATTTTGTAGAAAATGCATTAACATGGGAAAGCCCATCCTTCCACCTGAACAGGTGTGACACTGCTTTACTAAATATATTACATTCTGATTTGCATGGCATGGCAGCATTTGGAAGTCTCCACTAAGTGAATCCACACCGACAAAATATAAATTCGGCCAAAGTTAACTGGACATCTGCAATATGTCAAATACTGTATTAGGTGCTAATAATATAAAAATGAATGGCTCCTTTTCTTAAAGACAATTTAACTTAGGAATTCTCAAATGCTTTCTAAATAATCAATGTGGAAGGTGGTGCATTCTACTCAGTAATAGGTTGAGTGGAAGCTGCATTTTATGAAAGCTAGATACCGCGGAAAATGATCAGAGATAACAAAGGTGGAGATTCCCTAATATCCTGAACATTGGAAATGTTGTATTCACCTGGGGGTCTCCAACCCAAAGAAAGGCACAAACAAAGCAATCAGAATGTTTCCTGATGTTTTTTAACCATATAGAGTAAGAATATAAAATTGAATAACTTCCTTTGTGAGGGAGAGAGAATAAATGAATTGAATTCACTTATCCCACACTTGCCCAATGTAAATTGCTGCTAGACTTGAACGAATTGCAGAAATCTTAACTCCCCTTGTGCCCTACCTCTACAGGGATGATGAGAACAGAAGAATGACCTGAACCTGCCACAGCATAGCTGGGTTCCCTCTCAGGGGCTAAACAGACTGAGAGATGGCCTTGCTCCACTCTCTCAGCAGAAGCAGCTGGGGTTAAACAACTCAGCCTTCAGGGACTCTTCCCTCCCTGGAGCTTAGGGACATCCTCCTCACGAAGGTGTTTGGCGGAAAGAATTAGTGAGTCTATGACCTGTGCATACACAAACACCCCCACTGCATTCTGGATGCACAGGAACTTAGACTGAAAGCAGCAGAGCCTACAGCTAGAAGTATCCAAGAGAAGAAGAAACTGAGGCCCAGAAAGGCAAAGGTCCTTCCCCAATCCATAGCTCTCTAGATTAACCAACTTCTTGAAGATTTTTAGCTCTTCCTCCTTGGGAAGTTCGCATCAAAATTAGTTTTTTCCAAGGTGAGTTTTTAAATCTTTCTCCCTACAAGCGTTCATCTTTTGGCAAAGGAAAGAAGATGAGGAGAGAGGAAAAGATTAAATATAAGAAGGAAGGGAAGAAGGTAAAGAAAAGAAAAGAAGAAGAAAGAAACAAAGGGAGATAGAGAAGAAAGGACTCAAGAGAAGGAAGAAGGGGAGGAGTGTGGGAGGGAGAAAGAAAGAGCTACTGATAAAAGTTCATACATTCAGCCTACTGCTTTTTTAGTCTTTGAAAATTATTAGAGAGGCCAGCAGTGTCGTTTCAACCTAGAGGAAATCCAAATGCTAACATCTTGCAGCCCTGGTATGTCCCTCTCCCATCCTTCCTGAAATTAACTGAGTCTTCTTCTCCTCCACCCCGGCCACGAACTTACCTTCACTGAAGACAAAATCTGAGATAATGTCAAAAGGCTGGATGTGGACTGCAGACAGGATCATGGTGACTGTCTTCTGTAGATCACTAGAGGCCAGTGAAATGGTTTGTTGAGCTTGACATTCATAGGACTTCCCAGCTGGGGTAACCAGCGCAGAAAGGTGGTGCGAGTTGGCTGTGTGCTTCCCAGCTACAGCAAGGGCCCAAAGCAATAGTTAGGCCCCTCTTTCTGGCAGAATCCTCGTTGTTCCTAACCTAATGTGCCAGAGAGGTGTTGCCTCTCAGTTCCAGACCCCATACCCCTCCTGTTCTCTCTGTTCCCTTGCCATGGCTAGGGCTCAACAAACGGCATCAAGTGGTGAAGGACAAACACACCTATTCTGTTGAGAGCAGGGCTCTTTCAGTATTAATTTAGAATTCATTTTTCAAAGAGGAGAGTGATACCTAAAAACCCCTATGCTGGGCATGGTGGATCCTACCTGTAATTCCAGAACTTTCGGAGGTCAAGGTGGGAGGATCATTTCAGTCCAGGATTTCTAGATTAGCCTGAACAACATAGTGGAACTCTATCTCTACAAATACACACACACACACACACACACACACACACACACACTAAAAAATTAGTCTGGCATGATGGCACATGCCTGTAGTCCTAGCTACTGGGGAAACTGTGGTGGGAGAATCTCTTGACGCAGTAGCTCACTCCAGGCTGCAGTGATCTAGGATGGTGCCACTGCACTCCAGCCTGGTGGACAGAGCAAGACACCACTTCAAAAAAGAAAAAAAAAAATCCCTAGCAATGGAGATTCCAAAGACACAGAAGGAACAATGACGGTTTTCCACATTTCACATTGGCCTGGCAAAGAATAAAATATCTTCCCAAAAAAGCCAGACAGATTGCTGGTCCTCTGGGTGCTTGTCGCACACATACATCCCCTCTGAAGGTCTGCCTCCCACTACTCCTTTTCTGACCTAAGTTTTGGTTTTTCCTTTTTGGTCTAATTTAACTGGGGAACATCTTGCATCTAAACTTTGATGAAAAAGAAAAAAAATCCTCCTTTTACTGTGATGACAAAAAAGGGGTGAAAGGGGAAAGACGACACATGTATTTTTATGTGTTCAATAAAAATATTTTCCCAACTCAGGTGTCTGGGTGACAAAAGGCCTCATTACTAGTGAAACAGAGAACTTATAAAGAACAAAATCAATTTAATTTGATGGTGCCTACAGATAGGAATATTGTTATTTGGGGGATGAATGCTCCTCTTGCTGGGGATATTTTTGGAGGATCTGGGTGAGTTGTCAGAGGGATGGGCCAGAAACGCTAGTAAATTATAGATGGTGCAGAGTCCACTCTCAGGTGGCTGCAGTAGGTTACTTAATATCCCGTGAGAGCCATGCTGCCATGTGCAAAAAAGACACTGAAGGACACCACCTCCTCGCTGAAAAGGAAAGTCGTACTGTCCCCTTGCAGTCTTAGCGCATGAGAAACAAAACCAGGGTGCTGAAGAAAATTAAAATACGGCTTTGCCCTTTTTCGTATTTCTTCAAAGGCCAAATCATAAGAGGTCGTCCTGAAGCAGTCAGGGAACGACAGGCCTTCAAGGGACGTCTCATCTAGGATCAAGCCATGGGTGACGGATGGGTCCCCAAGCCTGCGGTTCCTTGCGGATCTACAGGGCCTGAGACCCAGAAGACTCACCGGCACTCCCGCCCCCTGGCCCCTAAAGAGCAAGCGGAGGATGCCTTGGCCTGGGAGCGCAAAGCCAGAAACGGTTTCCAAAACCCCAAGGAATTCTCTCTCCAAGCCTGCTCCTCGAGTTCCCAGGCTCCCTTCCCAGTCCTGCCAGCCTCTACTCACCACTAACTGCGTCTTTGAAGTGGGTCTTCTCGGAAGAGTCGTAGACAAACTGCACTTTGCTCAGCCTCCAAGTCGTCTCAGGTCCCTTGGACGTGTTGTGGCTTTCCTGTTGAGCCGGGGAGGCGCGCTTCAATCACCTCCGCAGCTTCTGGGTTCTTAAACCCAGGGGCCGCCACTTCCCACACCCACGCGGAGCCTGCGGCCCCCCTGCCCGCGCGGGTCTGAGTTACCTTTACAAACAGCATTTTGAGTGCGTACGCGCGATCCACCCAGAACACTTGCAGCTCCGACTCGCTGTGGCCACAGCGGCCCTTCACCTCAGCTCCCCGGGTCAGTGCGATATCCGCCTGTTCTGTGATCAGCTGGGAACACAGACGCCCCGCGCCCCCTCAGCGCGCCCGGCCCCGGGGTGGGGGCTGTAAAGGGCGGCGCGTCCAAACTCTGGGTTGCACGCTTGGGCGCTCCTTTGCGCGCGCGCATGCCAGGTTCCAGGACCATGCGGTTAGATGCTCTACGAGCAGCCCCAGCCGATAGGGGAAGCGGAGAGAAGAGGGGTTATTTTCAAAGCAGGCAAGGCGAGCAGAAGGTGTTACAAGCTGAAATCCCCATGCAGCATTCGGGAGCAGCCTGCAGGGGTGTGGGGAAGAAGGCGGGCGACCCAGGTCTTTGAAGGGCCACAAGGAAGGGTGCCCTTCGCCCTGGGGCCCTAGGAACAAGCTAGGGGGAAAAGATTCCTTACGTCTACGTAATTGCTGGCCCACACATCATAAGGTACAATAAATTTGGCTGCAAACTCTGCCATGAGACACGTCGTCCCATTTTCCCGCACCACAAATATATCTTTTTCAGGGTTAGTGGAAAGGCCTGAGAGATTTTCCACTTCTTGTTCTGCCATGATTTGAGCCATTGTATCTGCGGAACGAACAAAACAAATTCCATCAGTTCAGGGCTCAGTGAGCCCCAGCGTCTTGGGCGCTAAGATGGGGAGACAGTGCTCTGCAGGCTTTGGAGTGACAAAGTTCTCTTCCAGCAGCTGTGCGCTCTATGAGCCATTTCTCTAGCCTGGGTCTAACAAGCTTCATTCCTCCCCTGTTAATTTATAATGAACATATAATTTTTTTAAAAAATTTAAAAATCATGACTTAGTTTGTAATATAGCTGGCCGTTTTCTACATTTTGGGATTTTAAACTAAATCTTTCTTGCCAATGCTCTGACCCCACGAAGCTGGCCAGTCTAGGCTCTGTCTGGAATATATCACACAGGTGTATGGCTCCCAGGGGAATTCCCTGCCACCGGCAGGGAAGGCTCTCCCTCCTCCCCCAAAAGAAAAAAAACCGCATGACATAAGGGCCATATTTTTTTATCTTAATTGGCTTTACTTTGCCGACTCTGTTCTCTGCAAAGAGGGCATCCCGTCCTCCCAGTCGCCAAAACGCTACTCACGGAACAGCATCAAGAGAACTCGAAGTCTGCCGACGCTGGGGACCGCTCTTCCTCGGAGATCCATACTCGCAGTGCAGCGAATGAGGCCAGCTGTGCTGCTGCAGAGGCCGCCCAAGAGGGAATCCCTCAAAGTCGCCTCTGGAGTGGGCCGGGGTGAGCGAGGGGCGGGGGCCAGAGAAGGAGGAGGGAGGGAGCGCGTATTCTGTGAGCGCTTGCTAGGACTCGGTGTCTAGTGCGGCACCGACAGCTGCTGGCAGAGCAAATCAGCTCACTGCAGAGAAAAGGACCGCGCGGCGAGGGAGCTGTCCACGGCTGCGAGTGCTGAAAGCAATCCGATTGTGTGGCAGGAGTGACTGTGGCTTGGCTTGTGCAGAGGGCCAATGAGATTTGGAGGGGGCCTAAAAATCCTTCCTGGGTCTGTTTCCTGTTCTGCAATTGCATCCGCAAAGATGAGTCTGTTCTGAGAAACTTAACACCACCCTCAGACTTATTAAATCTCCTTACCAGGTACAGTTATTATGTGGTGTAGATATCATATCACTGGAGTACTGTCTTCTGAAAATGCATCTGGTTCCTGAAAGAAACGGTAGAGCAAAAATTGCTGCTGCTTTGGGGGAAGAGGGCTATGCAGGAATAGAGAGGGAAAATGCTATGGCAACAGTTTCCTGCCTTTGGAGACATCCCCTTCTCTCCCCTGCTCTCAATAAACTCATGGGTTTAAAGTTAAATTGACACCTCCTCAAACGAGGCCATCAGACAATGCAGTAGCTCCATGTGGGCTTATTTTTCTGTTAATTTTGCTCCTGGGTGCGTAAGAACTCTGAACTCTGGGGTCATTTACCCTCCCACATTATATTGTGACCACTCTGCGAAGAAGGGATGCAAGCAAATCAGAAGTTTGTAAGAGAATATTTAGAATTATGCCCTAAGTAATGTCACATAGTTATGTAAGAAAAACACACACTGACATTACTCTAAAGCCTCTAGTGGAACGGAAAAACAAACACTACTGGGCTAATTCCTATATTTACATATTTGGTAGCTTGCTTATTTTTTATTTTTGCTCTATAAATCAGAATATGGCTTTCAAAAATACACATGCAGTCCTCATTAATTGTAGTGATGTCCAAATATTTTATTCCTTAGAGGATATTTTATGATGCAAATAAATGTTGCATCAGTAATATAATGTTATAAAACAAACAGCGTCATATTAAAGGGAAAATTGCAAAATATTTCACCTGCATTATGTAATTTGATCCTCTCCAACCTTAGAGGGTAGGCAAGGAAAGATAAGAGTTATTGTGGTTGTATATACCCCCAAACTGAAGCTCAAACAAATTAAATGACCTTCCCAAATGTCAAATGATCAGTTAGAATTAAAATAGAAAAATCACATGCTTTAACTGGGTAAAGATTATCTTCATTTCTCCTTATATAATATTTTTACTCCATATTTTGACTTCCATAAAAATTTTTATTCAATATTAAATAATGATCTGAAACCTGAAATCTCTATCGTTAATTTACATTCTTGAAATTTGTAGAATGCTGTTTTAAGTATAATTATATTCTCTCATATCAGCCACAAAGTATCTATATAATGTTTTTGGCTTTCAAACGAATTCCTATATCAATAATTAGATCACTAGCAATTCAAATTATAATGTAATATTAAAATTGACACTATATTTTCACATCTTTACTTTTATGTCTGTATTTCAGTATTTCATCCAAACATTTCTCAAGAACTTTACAAAGATAATTATATATAGAAGAATTGATGCAAAGTTATACAGGAGAACGTAATAGAAATGATTTTATACAGAAGATCGATATAAGGTCAATTCTTATCAGTTAACAATGGAAGATATAACATTTATATGTGTTACTTGTTTTCATGTCAGTAAATATTATTAAACCTTTATTTTCCTGTAGTACTGGAAAACTGGAAAAAATGAGGCATGTAATAAAGTATTTATTCTCTCTCTCTCTCTCTCTACAACATTTTATGAGGAAAGAAATGAGTAGATTTCAGTCCAGGATTCACTATTTACTACTTTTGTGACCTTGTAAAGATTTTATTTTTTCTCATCTGAAAAATTGGGAAAATAACCCAGGGGATGGCTAGTTAGACCAAATAGGCCAATGAATACAAAAGCATTCCAAACAAAGCACAAATAGATCCATAAACATTAACCAAATACTTACTACTTATGGTATGCCTGGTGCTTTGAAAACCCAAAGATATTTATCATTACACAAGTAGAAGTGATACCTATAAAATATTATGACAATTTATCTTGTGATATGTTACTGCAGATATCTTCACTATATAAGTTGTTAAAAGATCAACTGAATTAATTCATGATTATTGCCTTAATAATAAAATATTAGATGAGTAGTAGCATTGGTCATTGATCTTAAAATGTTGTGGTAGTTCCTTTGAAAATTATACGTGATATAAATGATCTCTTTGTTGACACCAGGGAGTGTGCCCTAGAGTGCTAAAATGAGTTGAAAGAAGAAAGGAAGCAATTTTAACCCTTTCCTTCTGAAAGGATCATTTTCAAAGCACAATCTGTTCAATGCCCTTTTTAATGTTTAATCTTAAACATGGCTAATAAATACCCATTAATTTGTTCATCTTATCCACTGTGATACATTGCAATATGAGCTAGGTCATTATACCTACAACTTTCACCTACATTAATTAAATATCTTTCTAATCATTCAGAAAAATTCTTTGGTTCTCTAAAATAAGCAAAGAGATGATCAAGGAGCAAAATTTACCATTAAATTGCATTTTAATATATTAATAATGTTTCCCTGAATGTGCTCTATTTTTTATTTCTCAAATCTGAAAGATGGTAGGAGAAATTGACATAAATATGTACACTTGTGTGGGTGGTGACCGTGTCCATTTTTATTATTGCTTATGGTGGTCAATAGAAATTGTTAGGGCATAGTGTGACCCAAACACACTGGCTTTGAGATCTCCTCTAGATCCTCTAGTCCTTCAAAGGCTGCTTTTCATTTCATATGGATACTTACTGAATTAGCCTTTACGAATCTCATGCCATTGGGTGGTTGCCGTTTTATAAAAGTTCAAGAAGAGGCCCCTGCACAGAACTTTCAATTTGGATGAAAAAATATAAGAATTTACATAAAGATGCCATACAGCCTGGCACAGTGTCTCCATAAATGTTTAGGGGAAAAAAATAAGACAGGCATCCCAGGTGGGAGAGTGGTTTAAACTGACCAAAATAAGCCCACTTGGAGAAGGTGGATCTTGAAAGAAGTTGACAAACTGATGTAGGGTGGAAGGAAGAATGCAAATGAAAAAAATTTCTATTGAATAGGGAATCGATGCAAAGATGTAACTCTTCATCCATATTTATCAATTTATAATTTATAAAAAACAAATTAGGCCCTAAATCCACAGTGCCTTACATACTATTAAACCCCTATTTTATTTCCTTATTTGATAATTTACTAACATATGGCATAAGCAAAAGAATGGCATATGTAAAATTTATCCTAAATAAAACTACACTTTTCAAGTTGTTAGGGGCATCTTTTTATACTTGGTTGTGCATGCAACTGATTTGTCTTTGTAGAATAAGAAACAAAATTATGAAATTTAGTGAACAATACTAATAAAAGCGTATTTAAGAGCTTCAAAAGGAAAAGGCTGGGCTTTGTTGCAGCTGAAATTTGGTTTATTAAGGTTTCAGCCCACTTTACAGTAAAGTGTAAAAATGTGCTCCTTGCTCTGTTGTCCCCACAGCCACCAAGCCATCCCTCCATGACCCACACACAGACAATGGGAGCACACCTGAATAACAGAAGCAGAAGTAATTTAAACAAGCAAGATGCACACAGCTGTTGAGCCAGACTTTCTACTCACCAAAACCTTTTCTTGTGTTCAGCTTATCACAGATCAATTATTTCATTTCATTATTTAATTTAATCATTGCCTTCAAAGACCTTTGTAATCCTTTCTAGGATCTAAACCCTTGTGGAATAGAAACTAGAGAATAAATGTTTGCACAAGAAGTATTTTTCAGTTTCCATCTCACAAGGACTTAGGTCCAGAGCAAAAAGTAAAACAATAAGTGTGTGCATGGGCAATGTATACACAAGGATATACATGTGCATGTGTTGTGCATTTTGTGCATGTGTTGCTAAGCCCTAGAATATTTGGAAAGGATCAGAAAATTGAGTTTAGGCTCCAACACACTCAGTCTGCCCACCCTTGGTGCAATTTCCTTCATCCTAGTACTTCTTCGGTGTCTCCTGCATCTACTCTAATGAAACAAGGGTTGTTTCTGCAATAAGGTTAGCCAGTGGAGGGGACAAGGCACCAGAATAATGGCCTTTTATTGGCTATGTTCACACTAAGTCCTGAAAAAATATCCTTTATGAGTTTATTTAGAGGAAATGCCTTCCCCATGGGGGAATACAGAGAACAGTGTCCTTATAGCAAACCCTGACAAAATAAATGGTGAGAGACAAGGTCATCATTCCCCAAAATTTCAGTAGCAAATAAATTATTTTTTTCTTTTGAATCCATGATTAGTTAACTGTTCCGATCAGTTTTAAGTTAGTTACATGGGAATTTAGTTGCCACAAACTTCAATGTAACCATTTTTGGTTAGTGATACATGATTCACCCTGCTATCTCAGCAGTGAAGAAAACCTTGTTAATTTGTGGGCAGGGGACCTTTCTGTAAGGTAGAATTAAAACTCATTTGAGGATATTTAAAAATCTTAAATAAGTCTGTTCTCTAAGGAATGACATCTGTCACAATAGGCCTAAGGTTAGACAAGCTGTGACTCATTTAGCATGTTTTGCTACCTGAATTCTGAGATAATGCAGTGCCCTAAAAATCTCTGAGATATCACAGGAGTCCATTGTTCCCTCGGTTAGTTACTTTTTTTTTTTTTCCTGAGACAAAATCTCACTCTGTCACCCAGGCTAGAGTGCAGTCAGGCAATCCACGCTCACTGCAATCTCCCCCTCCCAGATTCAAATGATTTTCCTGCTTCAGCCTCCCGAGTAGCTGGGACTACAGGCATGTGCCACCATGCCTGGCTAATTTTTGTATTTTTTGTAGAGATGGGGTTTCACTATGTTGGCCAGGCTGGCCTCGAACTCCTGACCTAGTGATCCACTCACTTCGGCCTCCCAAAGTGCTGGGATTACAGGTGTGAGCCACGGTGACCGGCCAGTTACTCTTTTAATTGTCTATCTGAAGTTATCAGTATATTAACTTGAAATAGTGTTTGGAACTAAGGAAAATTTATATTAATGGCCTTTGGGAAGGGTGG